AGAAAAGAAAAGAAAAGAAAAGAAAAGAAAAGAAAAGAAAAGAAAAGAAAAGAAAAGAAAAGAGAAAAGAAAAGAAAAGAGAAAAGAAAAGGAGGGATTTTTAATGTTCTTTACTCATCCCCTCGTTGTGACCTTGGGGAGGTTCAGCTCCAGGATTCCTGCTGAATTCCCAGGAGATTCCCAGGAGATTCCCAGGAGATTCCCAGGAGATTCCCAGGAGATTCCCAGGAGATTCCCAGGAGATTCCCAGGCTCAGGAATGAGGAGCAGCAGCTTCCCAGATAAAGGGAATTTTTGGATCAGCTCCTGGGACAGCCACCAGCAAGGTCACACGGGGCATGGAGGGAGTTTAAACACTCAAAATTGGGGTTTTTTTGGAATTTTGGAGCTGCTTTGGGACACCAACACCTCTGGGAGGTTCTGCAGTCATTCAAAGTTCAAATAAAAATGAAATTAAAATTTTTTTTGGGGTGGAACGATGGAATTAAATTAGGAATTTTTGGGTGGAACAATGAAATTAAATGAATTTTGGGGTGGAACAATGGAATTAAATGAATTTTGGGGTGGAACGATGGAATTAAATGAATTTTTGGGTGGAACGATGGAATTAAATGAATTTTGGGTGGAACTATGGAATTAAATGAATTTTTGGGTGGAATAATGGAATTAAATTAGGAATTAAATGAATTTTTGGGGTGGAACGGTGGAATTGAATGAATTTTTGGGTGGAATAATGGAATTAAATTAGGAATTAAATGAATTTTGGGGTGGAACGATGGAATTAAATGAATTTTTGGGTGGAATAATGGAATTAAATTAGGAACTAAATGAATTTTGGGGTGGAACAACGGAATTAAGTGAATTTTGGGGTGGAACGATGGAATTAAATGAATTTTGGGGTGGAACAATGTGGTTTTTGCCTCTCTGCCAGTGATAATTACAGACTGACTCCTCATCCCAACATTTTCCAAGAGCTGGAAACTCCGGGAAGGAACCCCGGAGCTGCTGGGGGGGGAATCTCAATCCCAAGTTTTGGCCTTGTTCAACCTCTCCTGGCAGCTCTGGAAGTTTTTTATTTTTCCAGCAGATCAGAGGGAAAAGTGCCAGGAAAAGAGGAGATTGAACCTGGATCAGGCACATCCTCTTCAAAGGGTTTCTGTCAGCCTCACGCTGCTGTCACTCCTCAATTCTGCTTTTTCTGCCTCCCCAATCTGTGTCTGATCTCTTTATCTAGGTAATCCAAAAGGAAAAATTTAAAAAAAGAATATTTAAAAAAAAAAAAAAAAGAGGGGGAAAACGGGACTTTTTATAAGAAAAAAAACCAAACAACAAGCCAGGGATTTTAAAGAAATAAGAAAAGAAATAAATAAAAGAAATAAATGGATTATTGAATTTTTAAATAAATAATAAATAAGTAAATAATGAATGGATTATTATTGATTTTGAAATAAATAATAAAGGATAATAATAATAAATAATAATAAATAATAATAATGGATTATTAAATATTGAAATAAATAATAAAATAAATAAAGAATAAATAGATTATTAAATTTTAAAGAAATAATAAAATAAATAAAGGATAAATTAATTAATTATTAAATTTTAAAGAAATAATAAAATAAAGGATAAATAAATTAATTATTAAATTTTAAAGAA